TATATATATATATATATATATATATATATATATATATATATATATATATATATATATTCTAAATTGATATAAAATTATTGATTTACAGATGAGCCGAGCTGTGAAGCGACTTCAGACACCGCATCGATTATTATTGACCGGCAGCCCGATGCAGAATTCATTGAAGGAATTATGGTCCTTGTTTGACTTTATTTTACCCGGTAAACTCGGTACTCTATCCGTGTTCTTGGAACATTGTGCGGCACCGATCATGCGCGGTGGTTATACCAATGCGACACCATTACAGGAAGCTACAGCCTTGCAGGTAGCTACTATGTTAAAGAATACCATTACTCCATACATGCTCAGAAGAACGAAAACTGACGTAAATCATCATCTCAGACTTCCTGAGAAGAACGAGCAGGTATTATCCTCTTTTTCTTATCTGTCCTGACATATACTTTTGTCCTGGAATATTAATATTTATTTTTCTGGCCTTTGATGTCTCCATAGTTCTTTCAATTTCAAAAAGGAGAGAAAAAACCTTTTTCTGTTAAAATAAAAAATATTTCTCTTCTATTCCGACCTTTGATCAAATATGATAAGTCAGAGTTTTGTTCAGGTCATCGTTTTTGAAGTTCTTTTTGACAAAGTGACATGGAAATAGAGTAAATTTGTTTGCTTGAATAAGTTTTGTGCTTCAAAATTGTAAAGAGAATCAAGATGTTCCATCCATTTTGGAAAGACATTTATATAAATTTAGATTTGCGTGTATATATAATTGTGTCTTGGCTTGTATGATCTTCTCATCTACATATTATATTTAATCAATACATAAACATGCTTTACCTTTATATGCATATTTTAATTTATTATAAATGCAAATAAATTTGTGGATTTTTTAGGTGTTATTTTGCAGCTTAACCAATGAACAGAAGAAGTTATATAAAGAATATCTATGCTCCGAGGATGTATCCTTCATTTTGGGTGAGAAAAATCATCACAAAAGTAAAAGATATAAGGCGAGGTTTTTTATCGCGTTGTCGGCGTTACGAAAAATATGCAATCATCCTGATTTGTTCCTGTACACAAAACAATTCGTAAGACCACCATAATAATGAATTAATTAATTAAAAAAGCATTTGGGTATATTAATAAATAATTATTGTTTGTATATTTTGAAGGATTCGGAGGAAGATATTGACTTATCCGAAGAATTATTGGAGAAGTTCGGTTACTGGAAACGAGCTGGGAAAACGACCGTTGTCCGCTCTCTTTTAAAAATTTGGCAGAAGCAAGGGCATAGAGTGTTACTTTTCACTCAAGGAAAGCAGGTATACGACTATAGATATAAACTTTGCATTTTTTAACATATATCACGTTTTTAACACAACATCTTGTATATTCTTTTATTGTTGTATATTCTACTATCTAAAAAAAAAATATATATATATATATATATAACTCTATTAATAGAAATATAAATATTTCTTTTTACAGATGATGTATATTTTAGAATCTTTATTAGTACGTGAAGGATATACCTATTTGAAACTAGATGGTGCGACAGCGATGTCTCAGCGACAGCAAATGATACAAACGTTTAACAATGTATGCGTTTAGTGGTTTTTTATCAAAAATGTTACTTCTTAAACAAATTGAAAGTGTATTCTCAACATATATTTGTGTGTGTAGAGCCCTTCATACTTTATCTTCTTGCTGACAACGCGCGTAGGAGGTTTAGGATTGAATTTGACCGGTGCGAATCGTGTGATTATCTATGATCCTGACTGGAATCCGGCGATAGACGCTCAAGCGAGAGCACGCGCCTGGAGAATAGGCCAGAATAAACAAGTTACCATATATAGATTAATCACTGCCGGCACTATTGAAGAGAAGGTATTAATAAAATCAAAATGACAGTTAGTAGTGATAATAATAAACAATAATAAAGATAAATTATAAAATTAAAGTTATAACAAATATGGTAAAGTCCGTTTACATAAGATAGCGATGCCAATATAAAATATAGCAATATCTTATATAATTTATGCAACGCTATTTTATAGATGTACCATAGGCAGATCTTCAAGCTGTTGCTGTCGGATAAAGTTCTCGACGAACCTCGTCAACGTAAACTGTTCAAGACATCGGATCTGGTGGAGCTGTTTAATCTAAACGAGCCAATAAATGGTGAGGCTTCTGAATCCGATCGTTTGTTCAAAGAATCCAAATCGGTACTCGCAAGTAAATTTCCTCTCACCAAAATCGAGAAGATGAGAAAACTAGCTTCAGCCCTCAGCAAGAAAATAAGTGCGGCAAATATTGTTAAATCTACATGCAATGAAGATGAGAAAACAAGCGATCATGAGCACAAACATAATGGTGAAAATAATAACTTGAGATGTAATGAAGCTCACGTTGTGGAAAACCACTTATCCGAGAATCAAACGTTATGCTCTCAGCCAATTAGTGTGCAGGAATCTCCGAGCAAAGATGAGAATTTGATCGCTGCTTCGAATGTCAGGAGAAATGGCAATGCAAAGGATAACGATATATCTAAGGACGATTCCGAGTTGAATGTAGCCCTATTGAATACCGCAAAGGACAGTGTCATAGAAAAAGAGAAAACTGGGTCTGTTTTGAGTGACGACAAAGTCGAGTCGCTGCACGCGCGTAAACGCAAGAAAAGCAAAAAGAAGAAAAGAGAAAACCAAATCTCTGCGATGTTCGAGGGTGAACGTGTTTCTTGTCTAATTGGTCGTCGTCTGGGTCATTCTGACGAAAGAGAAAAATCCGTGTTGACCACTGACGATGACTACGTATTGAGAAAGCTATTCGCCAAATCAAGTAATTATTATTTTAATGTAGTATTAAAAAATAGTATTTAAAGAAGTTTAGCTTTTTTAAATCAGTATTATGTATATATTAATTTATTGATGCAAAGAGATGTTCATTTTATTAGATTACGTTATTGATTTAAATTACGTTTCTAACTATTTCGCATTTGTTTCAGCTGTCAGCTCAGCATTTGGACACGAAGCAGTATTATCAAATGCGCGTTATAACAGTGACAACGAAAACACGATGCAACGTTTCGCACGTGAATCAGCACAAGAAAGCATGGATTATGTGCGTCAATCCGGAAGGATGTGCTGGAGACCAGCGTAATTCAAACTTCTCTAACAAGAAACTTTAGATATATCTTCTATATTTTTCTTTTTTTTCGTAAACTTTATTTATATAGAATTATATGTTTCGTGACTTTTACATCGCAAATAAGGCTGTGGAGAAACTACATGTAGTTTTGAATAAGAAATTTGTATATTTTTTTTATTTTTTTAAATAACGTATATCTCGTTTGTATTTTACGCGTATGTATAAGTGCGTGTATTGTACAATATAATAATATCCATCGTTTTGTTAATAAACAGTTTTTTGCAACGCAACAATATGCGATGCTATATCGCTCCTCGTATAAATATTTATTATACATATTAAATTATCGATTCGTACATAAGAATTTTACATAATACATATTAGGTGTAACATATATAATTTATAGTAAGTCGGTTTTTCAATGTATCTCCTGAGAATTTAAAGCAAATTTATCAAGCGATATTTTAGTAATTAAGGTTCATGGCCCTTCGCATTGTCTCTTTTTTTTATTGACGTCAGAAACGAAAAAATGCATACTAAAAATTCTTGCGAAATACGTTAAAATAAAAACATGTATCTATAAAGTAACATTTGCAATTAATTAAACAAATTTGTAAGATATTCCGTAACAATCAATAATTTGTCGTAAATTAACGTGACATAGAATTTATCTTCTTAACCTATTTCTTCGCCCATTTCTATTCAGATTAATTTAGAATAAATTATTGATTTAAAATAAATTATTGATTGAGAGCAAAAGGGGAGTGCACGGAATATCTTAAAAATTTGTTTAATCGATTGGGCAAGGGTTACTTTATAGATATATATTTTTATTTCAATGTATTTCGCAAGAATTTTTAGCATGCATTTTTTCTAATGTCATTAAAAAGAGATAGACAATGCGAGGGGCCAGGAGCCTTAAAAATTTACAATCACAAACACAAAGGATTTCTGGAATTTGAAATGTTTACAAACTTGAAGATCTTTACAAGTTACGATGAAAGTTCTTTTACTATCAATTCCTTTCACAATTGTATCCATTAAAAAAAATGCAACTGCATGAATCTTTCAAAAAAAGACAAGAAATCAATTTTTCTTTAATAGGAAAGTACCAGTTTTTCTATTTATTTTATATTGTATAAAGAACAAAAGAAAACAAAAAAAGCATATCCGAATGTATGTACGCTACAACAAAAGTCGTTAGAATTGTGCTAGTGTTTTAAAAATGTCTCAAGATCAGGCCCAGACTTACCCAACGGATCTATGGGAAACATAATATAATCTCCAACAAATGTTGGCGTTAGTAAGCGATTCAAGATTGTATCGCGCCATTCAGGGTTTTCTCTATACAAATCTCTGTACTGATCTGAAGAAATAACTATACCTTCGCATTTAGTTGCATATTCTAGGATGTACCTGCAACAAGGAGGAAAATTAGCTTCCACTCATTTTTCCATCGCTCTGAGATATGCTTCGATTATGTGAAATTGAATCTGAAGTTATTTTTAATTAGTGATACATAAGTGCGATGTTTTTCTTTTTGTTATGTGAAATGATTATAATTTCAAATATCACCGATCGTCATAAGGCGTAATCTGTTTGCCGGCGATATTGCGACTTGGTGTAAAGACAACTATGCCCTTTGTATACATTTCTTCGAGAAGTTGGTATCTTTTTGCCCGAACGTGTTGTGGTAAAAAAACTTTTACAACGTGGCCTCGCGATTCAAAATAGTTTACCATTAACTTTATGCCTTCTTCCGAAAACTTTTGACCATTCATATGACTGAAACATGAATTATAAGAAAAAGTAAGATTAAAAAAGAGTACAGTATATTAAAACAGTAATTTCTAAAATTGTGTATGAAGTATATTTCACTATAATTATTATATAATTACTATAATTTCACTATAATTATTATATAAAGCTGTGTGTGTGTGTGTGTGTGTGTATGTATGTATGTATTTCTATAATTGTAACTCGCAATTTTATAAATATAATTTTTATTGGTAAAATTATATGAGTGATTTTTTGCCTTGCAAGTTATATATGTATAACAAGTTGTAAAGATATAAAAAATAGAATCATACGCCATTGCTACATTGCAGCCATCGATGATTATCTCTCTCAGTTTATGTTTTCTATCAGAGTTTTCCTTTTCACTTTTCTTATTTTGATTCTTGCTGATGTATGTACTTGATTGCTTATATGTCTTTTGTCCTTTATGTAACAATTTCCGCCTCATTTCATGTGTATTTAATTTTTTAATTGGTAAATCTTTATGATAGCGCCACTTTTTCCGTTCCTTACGTACAGGACTCTTATCTATTTTTATGTAATCAAGATTTTTCAAGTCTGGTTTTACATCGATAGTAAAGGCGTTCTTTCCTGTCTGGCTATCTTTATATTCTTTAGACTCTTCCTTATTTATATTGGACCTACCCATACATGACCATACTTCCACAACATCATCCTCTGCTCGCAAGTTTGCTAAACAAAAAGAAAATTGTACTATTTTAAGCAGAAAGAAAGAATAGTATTCAATTAAATAAATCTATTTATAAACACTTTTAGAAAAAGAAAAGGAACAAATAGTTACCTATATTTTCTCCATTTATATCCTTTTCTTCTAACGAAGACTTTTGTATGGCTGAGGAAGTAGAAGGTGAATCATCATCTAGTAATATCACACTTGACCTCGTCCTTGGATTTGAAGTCTTCTTCAATTGTCTCGTTTGCTGTCCAAGCAAAGATTGTGATCGTAAAGATGTTCTACGTGTGTTTGGGCTAGATTCAATAATGCAAACTGAATTGTCTGCTGTGTCTTTTTCATTTAATTCGTTTTCACTGTCATTTATAATGATTACACTATTTCGTAGAGACTTTCTAGTGCATATCTTCTTTTTGCATGGTGATTTATATGTGGCATCTTTTTCTTTATTGTTTTCAACAGTATTTAATAGATCCGCAAATTCCTCTAAACTAATTTGTAACACATTAATTTTTAATACAAATCTCTAGGTACAAGTTTTATAGACACCCATTTACCTTTGCTTGAAACTGTTAAATACATTTTTGTTGGAGATGCTTGTGCTTGAGTCATGCTCTTCATTCTTGTAATTTTTTCTTTTTCTCTTCATCTTAAACTGATGATCACTTGCAGAATTATTGTTATTCATTTCTAATTTTCTTGTTATGCAGCCTAATGCTGATTTTGTTATTATATCATTATATATTATAATAAAACACGATGAGCAAATTAGAAAAAATCATTTTTAGTTTTTGATATAAATATATACTTACATCTGCAACCATTTATTTACATTTTTCACACATCAATGTTGCTTTAGTAGACTCGGTAAGTTAGGTTAGGTTAAATCTACAAACAACATAAAAAACCGAGTTTTGATAACACTTATGAGCAACAAATCATACATATATTCTGTATTTTGTATAGATATAGATAAAATAAAAGCCCCTCGATCTAAAATGTTACATCATACTAATAATTATTTATAATCAAGATAGCAAAACAAAAAGAAACAGTAAAACACTAGACTTCTATTTATCTCTTTGTATCGTACAATTTTGATTGTGTTCCGAGAATTTATTTTAATTTAAATAATTATTTTAATTTTATATTAATTAAGAAAATGTTTAATTTTAATAATTCCAGTTATAAACTATAAAATTATTTATCTCGACTTAGAAACATAGCATTTCGCGCATTAAAAGGTGTGTATCTAGTACTACAACCGTTTATTTCTGTAGTTTATACCGCACGTTTGACACGCATACTTTTTTTTCTTCAATTATGCTTTGTAGATATAATTCCTTTAGGCAGTCATATACAAAAACCAAGTAAGGAGCCTTGATCAAAGGACCAGGCAAAGTACAAAGTATAAACAAAGTTAAGTCAGCGGCAAGCGATGCTTGTTTTGTGTTGGGTAAAGAACCTCTGGTACAGTGCTGGCAGTTCGCGATATATTTTCGCGCACGCGCATTGAGCAAACTCTGTGGTAACCTCAGCGCCGTATCTATTTTAAGGTATCATAAGATCCTTCACCTAAAGGAAAATATGAAAGGATTGTAGGAAAAAAAAAAGTTTGTGGAAAGAAACAGAATGCTATTCATAAGTAAAAATAAATATATTTTTTACTTTATATCACTTTATATCACAATATCACTTTATATTAAAATTGCACTTTTTATCACATTTTATTTATTAATATATACTATATATACTTATTATCACATTTTACACAGCTATACTAATTATTATAACTATATTAATTATACTAATTTATTATTATGTCATTTCACTACCTATCTAATCTAACCACTCCCAGGCAAACAACACAGACAGACGGCCGAGTATTTTCTGCATGTCCCTTAAGAACCCCCTATTAGTGCCTAACGCCGTCATTGGAAACTGCTTACGTCGAGCTGCTACGTCACTTCACGCATGCGCACAAGGGCTTCTGTCTATATAGAAAATATCGCGAACTGCCAGCACTGC